GTGCGACCCAGAAAACTCAAATTCAATTTTCCTGTACCTACGGGCAACACATATGGCTCCGTAAAAATTTTGGTGGGTAAAATCATAATCTCAGGAACCGCGGAGGCTAGGGAGCTGAAATTCTGTGGGTATGCCTCTTGACCAAGTGCAACCCAGAAAATTTAAATTCACCTTTCCCCTTCGCTTGGATTTCGCGCACGGTTGAAAGTGTTAGCGGAAAATTACCTCGGGAACCGTGAAAGCTAGCAAGCTGAAATTTCAGGGCGATATTTTCTGCCGCTGCAGGTAACTCACAAACTCAAATTTAGCTCCCAATTGTGCAGAGGTCCTAGGTAAGAATTTTGATGTGAAAGTTACTAGCTCGGAAGCTGGAAAACTAGAAGGTTGAAATTTGGAAAGATGTTCTTCACCCACGTTTTCAAATTCAGCTTTCAGGTACCGGCACGTGGAATTTTCAGTGGGAAATTCCTCACCTTAGGAGCCAGGAAGCATATCTATTATTTTCCCATATACGAAAGCGTAAAACAGTTATATTTTTAGTAAACAAACGTCCGCTGGACGGAACTGCACAAAATGCATGATCGCACCGGCTACCCTGGTGCGCTTCGCTATTTATTATAATTTATTCGCGATTTTGGCCAGCTGTGCGGCTAAGTTATTTGATATTCGAGATTAGTTTTGCGATAACCCCTTCGTGTGTTGTCTGCTGATGTAATCTGGAATTATCCGAGCTCAAGTATGAGTTATAAAATTTGTGTTTACGAGCATAATTCCGCGATGAAAATCGTTGCCCGCATGTGCTAAATGGATGAGGAGTTGTGTGTCTGGTCTCTGGTCTCTTCCCATCCAATCGTGACGGAGCAGTGAGTCAATGAAGTTGGTGCTCTGTCGTACGCGAGTTACACCACCAGTTGGTGCTTTGCATGATGTGGTTGTTGTTGCTGCTATTAATGGCGTTCGTATCGCAGCCTTCTTTCATCTCTGCGATATCGAGTTGGTTCCGATTGGCAGCCATCGATTTCCTCATTGTCGCAACTGTGAGGCCATCTGGGGGGTATTTTTTGTCCAAAACTGAGTCGTCTCGCTTTATATCAGGATTGCCTGAGCAAATATTTCGGGTGTGCCCCCTGTTAGTGAAGCTGATAGGACGTTGCATGATCCTGGGCTGCATATCTCCAGTTAGTACCCGGCGTCCGCTCTCCACCTGTTAGGGGGTGGCCAGAATGGTCGCTTACTTTCCCGTGAGCAGCAGTGCGCTTGAAATCAGTGCAGAATATTAATTTATAAACGGCGAGCAAAAATGTGGTGCTGCGCCGGAAATGAGAGAGAGAGAGAGATGTGTTTCTGCCTGGTCGCTGCTGACTCATTTTCAGTGACGATGATTCGTATAGTTTCATGCAGCGCTGTGCACATCGATTCCTTTGAATCCGCTTCTGGGTACACGGGTTTTGTATGTACGCGTATTTGTGTCATAGCTAATTTTCTATAATTTGCAAGGTTTTTTAATACTTGAGTTTCTGGTCAAAAGTTTTTAAGGTGATAATTTGTGTATATATATATATATGTGTGTGTTAGGTTGCAGCCTCCAGTCAATCCTGGAGGTAGAGATGATGGGATGTAGAAGTAAACAAGAGTAGTGTAGGTCGGTAGTAAGAGGGTAATTTGTGTGTTCATAGATATTTCTGTTTTGAGCCTAATTATTGCTCATTTTTAGGAATTGGGGTATGAATTTCACTATTTTTACTAGGAAAGTACTGGAATTGGTGGACCCGGTGCACTTTTCGGAAACTGATCTCAACTGTACACCGCCGTTACCGGTGGCTGCCGCGGACCAGCCGTCAGCTCGTTTCTTCTTGAAAAGTGGGTCTGTTCGCCTTACTGATGCATTCTGCGTGAATCGGACAGTGCCGCATTTGCTTGTACATCGTGCCATTCGTTTCAGTGGAAGCCCTCCTAGTCCTTGTTTATCAGTCGCAAACAGTAAATGTGGCAAAATTTTATTCTGGCTTTTTGATTATTGCGTTTTTAGGCGGCAGTCTTTTTGCATTCTCAGAAAAGACACTGAAAAAACAGTCGTTTCGGCAGTTCTTAGAGGAAGTACTTGGGGGGTGAAACCAAGCACAGGATCGTAGCAGGCTAGTCACCAGGCGATTTGGATAATTGAATTGGAGAAGTCAGCTGCATCGCTGAGGTTGCCAGGCCATGAAAATGTGGCCAAGCCGGCGGGCTGAATTCCACCAGATCTAGTCTAAAGGCCTTTCGCTTGTAAGATTAGCAGTGAAATTGATGCCGATGACCATCGTGCCTCAGATACAAAGACGGTGTGCCGATTCTGCTCGGGTATCGACTAAGATTGGTCAGATTCGCTATGGTACTTATCAGATGAGTTCGGAACTACGCATGCGTATTAGTTCTGTTTAATAAGGAATTTAGAACTGAGACGAATAGTCCGGGGCTGCGGAGGGAATTCTGCTCTCTTATAGACCACAAGCATCTTCTAAGGCTTGTGCAGCCGCTAGCCACCCATCTTGTAGTTTTGGCTTCATTCTTACTCCAACTCTCTGATGTCAGAATTACATGGGCCCAAGAAAAATTAAAAACTTTTATTCCCAATGATAGTATAAGCTTATGCTTTTTTATCGATTTACACGAATATGAATAAAATTTTTGCAGATATTGCCGGTGCTCAGTCCGTGTTATTATTTGTTGCGACGGCTTTTACTGCTGCTGTGCTGCTGTTGTCAACCGTGCATTGGTATTACGTATGGACATTTGTTGCCGAAGAGAAGCGACAGAATAAGCTTTATTTTTTACTCTCATTATTCCCGGTAATTATTTTCAGTAGCGCGGGACATCGATGCTTTCACAGATTTGTATATATAGTTCTAGAAGCAAGCAGCTTGCTTTGAACTGAGTCTGCGCCATATGATCTACGTCCCATAATGCTGAATAATTGCATGTAATGCAAATTTTTAGGTGTGGCACCC